TCAAATCCCTGCTGAAGATGAAGTGGAAGATGGAGGACTTGGGTCCGGCACATTGCGTTGTTGGTATTGAGATCTACTCCACAGACAATGGGGGTTATGCTTTAAGTCAATCAGCTTTCATCCAGACGGTACTGGAAAGATTTCATGCTGAAGATAGCAAACCAGCTTCAACTCCTTTTCCAGGCGGCACAAAGATCATGAAAGCCACCGACTCTGACGTTATCGAATTCAAACAATCTAACCTTCCGTATAACAGCTTGGTGGGTAGCCTAATGTACATTGCTCAGGGTACAAGGCCGGATATTGCTTATGCAGTAGGTGCTCTGTCTCAACATCTTTCACGACCTTCAACTATAGCCTGGCAGATGGGATTACACGTACTTCGATATTTGAAAGGTACTCAATGCTTAGGACTACATTATTCACCTCAAGACAATGTTATCGAAGGGAATCAGAGCTGGTGCTATCCTGAATGCCACACTGATTCAGATTGGGCTGGTGATCCGAACACACGACGATCAACTACCGGTTATCTATTCAAACTTAACGGAGCTGCTGTAAGTTGGAAAAGTCGTTTACAGCCCACCGTTTCTCTATCATCAACCGAGGCCGAATACAAAGCTACAACAGAGGCTGGTCAAGAAGTAGTATGGCTTAGAGGATTATTGTCAAACATCTCACTACCTCAATCTGAAGCCACGGTTCTATGCAGCGATAGTACAGGTGCAGTATCCTTGACCAAGAAAGCTATTTTTCACGCAAGAACAAAGCACATAGAAGTGCAGTACCATTGGATAAGAGAACAAGTGGAGAAGAATTTAATCAAGCTTAGGCATATTAGTACAAAGAACATGTTTGCTGATACATTAACAAAACCACTTCACCCCGGACCATTCAAGGAATTGCGTCATCAAATTGGTTTAGAAGTCATACACGGACAGCTGAAACAGGGGGTGTGTTGAGAGACACCTCAGTCTCTCGTACCTAGGTTTCAGCCGTGGTGAAAGGTGAATAAGACTCTAAGTATCAAATCACTTTACATACTAAAATACAGTAGTTTTATTCAAACTTAAGATGTCAGACTCAAACTTAAATGATCCCTATTTAAATTGCGCCTCCCCCTTTTCGCGCTAATACTCTTTTCCTTTATCCGTCTTCTTACGGAAAGGAAAAGAGTAAGTTCAACCCCTTCACTACATTATCATCAATAGTCTCTACTCTCCATTAGTTTGATCTTCAATATGACTGTTACTAATTATCATACTGTGATGTTATCTTTTTCTTTTTCATCTGAATCATTGTCGACACTAGATCTTACTGAACTCATCGCGTCGACCCTTTTCCTTATTTTATATTGTGACCTGAACAAACCTTATAGGTCAGATACATAGTCAACTGGTCTATTCTTTCTATTCTCTTCATCTAACAAGTAGTGTCCTTTTTGTACTTGTCTATTTCTATCTTTTGTTCTATATAGGTTAGTGTTTCAGGTATTGTGACGAGAAGTGATTGAGACTCACTTCTAGAAACTGTCACGGGAATTCAGGTGAAATTGATCCGTCTTCTTACGGAAAGGAAAAGAATCTTACTGAACTCATCGCGTCGACCCTTTTCCTTATTTTATATTGTGACCTGAACAAACCTTATAGGTTAGTGTTTCAGGTATTGTGACGAGAAGTGATTGAGACTCACTTCTAGAAACTGTCACGGGAATTCAGGTTAGTGTTTCAGGTATTGTGACGAGAAGTGATTGAGACTCACTTCTAGAAACTGTCACGGGAATTCAGGTATCTCGACAAAGGAGATTTGTCGCTTTTCAGCTCAACCATCTACATCTGAAAGAAGAAGTAATAAATCGTGTAATAAGTGTGGTAGTACAGATCCTACACATGTTTGGAAGACATGTAAAGGAAAAGGTAAGTCTATCAACGCAGTTGAAGCTGAAGAGAATGTAGAGGATCAAGCTGATGATGACGCAGGATCTGTAATGGAATTTGTAGAATACAGTGAGAGTGTCAGTGAAACACAGTCTCATCATTCAGCTGATTTGAATGTTTCAGCTATTGAAAGCACCTTTGATAGTGCGGTGGATATAGCACAAGTCCAAGCTGAAGCAGAAATGCCACTTATAACACCTTTTGAGGAAAGTAATAAACAAATTTCAGACGCCAAGTTGATCAGGTGTAAACCAGCTTCAGGTAAAGCACATACAATAGGTTTTCATAGTTTAACCAGAGTAATTGTGAATAACCAAGACGCAGAACTGCTGCTTGATAGCGGAGCGTCTTGCTCAGTGGTGGGGAACCACTATTTGGAAAACCTTGTACCAGACTGGAAATTGAAGTTGATGCCGTGCAATAACAACATGAAGTTCTCAGGTTGCAGTGGAAGTTTATATCCCTTGGGAATTATCAAATTAGATGTACTATTTCCCCATAAACAAGGAGGTATCCGGATTGAAGCTGAATTTGTAGTTATGGAGAATTCACACACCAAATACTTTATTCTAGGAGATGAACACTTGTCTATGTATGGGATTGATATCTTTCATAGTAAGGATAAATTTTTTACGTTTGGAAATGATGTTAAAAAGAAAAAATTTGGGTTACCACTTCAGAGACCAATTCTTTCAGGATTACAAGTCAAGAAAGAAATAGTTAATGAACTTGATAACTCCCAACCTGAATTGGAAAAAGTCTCATGTGAAAATAAGGATGATTTGATGCCTAAAATCAATGAAGCAAAATTCAGTCCTAAACTTACAGCAAGAGAAAAGCAAAAATTTGTTGACCTGATTATCCAATATAAAGACCAATTTGGATTGGGTGATAAAGAGTTAGGTACGATTGAAAAGCATCAAGTGAGCATTAAGCTTACCATAGAAAAACCTTATCCTCCGATATTGAGGAAAGCTGCTTATCCTGCTAGTCCTAGAAACAGAGTAGAAATTGAAAAACATATTGATGAACTCTTGAGACTGGGAGTAATCAGAAAAGTAGGGAGTTAGGAGGAAGTAGATATAACATCGCCGGTCATCATTGCTTGGCATAATGGTAAATCAAGACTGTGCGGAGACTTTCGAGCACTCAATACTTATACTGAACCAGATAGATATCCATTACCTAGAACTGAACATGTATTGATTAACCTAGGTAAAGCAAGATATATTACACTCATGGATGTGTTGAAAGGTTTTCACCAAAACATAGTAGAACTCATGAGTAGAATATTCCTGAGAATAATTTGTCATATGGGTATATATGAGTTTGTTCGAATGCCATTTGGAATTAAAAATGCGCCCACATTTTTCCAACGGATGATGGATACAGAATTCAGCAAAGAATTGAGAGAAGGATGGCTCAAAATTTTCATAGATGATATAATCATTTTTCATGATAACTATGAGGAACATGTTAGATGTTTAGAAATAGTTTTGAAGAAAATTAAAGCCATGGGAATGACAATCTCTCTAAAGAAGTCAAATTTTGGATTCAATGAAGTGAAAGCATTAGGCCATTTGGTGTCAGGATTATGGATAGCAGTTGATCAAAATAAGACTGCTGCGGTACTAAATAAACCTCCACCTAAAAATATTAAAGAAATGCAATGTTTTCTTGGGTTTGCAAGTTATTATAGAAATTTTCTAGAAGATTATGGGAAAATTGCAAACTGCCTTTACAAATTGACATCAAACGGAGTTTCCTTTGAAATGACAAAGCAAAGATTGGAAGCCTGGGATAAGATTAGAAAGATGATAACAGAAGCACCAGTTCTGTTACAACCAGACTTTACTAAACCTTTCAAACTATATGTAGATGCTTCTTTTGAAGGTTTAGGTGCTGCATTACATCAAATCCAGATTATCATACAAGTTAAAGCAGGAGCCCCTTCCTCGCTTAACCGGTGACTTCATATTGACAACTTGGTGACAAACAATTGACGTACAAGATGAATTCCGCCATCAAGCACTCTGAAGAGTGGTTAAGACCAGTATTGTCATCTCAGAAGTGACAGGTTGAGTTCCGGTACATCTGACCTGTGACACCGGGACAGGCCACCAATAATCAACCCCTATCAAAAATCCACTTACAAGCTCAACTGACAAACCAGTCATTCCGTCATCAAAAAATAAGTCCAGCCTCAACATCACAACCGCAACAGCTAATAATCTCCCCACAACAGGCAATCAGTCATCCACCAAACTCTCCAGGTCTTCATCAGTCGGCTCCGGCGGCGTACTCAGGAAATACCAGAGCTCACACTTGACATGACGACCCGTAAACTGATCATCAACAAACGCACCTTTTGACAATCCTGAAAAACCATCCTTCCGGCTGTCCCTGTCTAAACTGTACGGATACAATAAACCAACAACCGGGACCAATTAATTACATACGAAGTCCTGCCAATATACGAAGTCCTGCCAAAAACAAAACGTGGTTGATTTCACAGACCAAAAACATCATAACAAATGCTAATGCAAATTGATCAGAGCAGCTCTGACAACAAACCACACCCATCACTCCCTATCAACATGCCATCTTTGTCAATACTTTCCTTCAACCCCAAAAAACACCATGCAAAACATCGCCATTGGTTGAAATTCGACTTACACGACCAGGAGCCCAAGTACAAATACCCGCATACTCTTTACTCTTCAGTCAGTCCATCAGTCCAACAAATCCCAGCCTCCAATTTACACACCCATAACCAATATCAAGTCTCCACTTACTACCGACTTTCAGTTCAAAGCAAGTTTGCTGGCATATCCATCTACTCATGATTCATTTCAAAATTACTGATTCGCTCATCTTCACATATTGTCTAACAAATCACAGATTTTCCTTCGCACACTCATAAATCAATACAAGTTTTTACTTATCACAGACCTCCAGTCACAAACAAGTGAGTCGCCATAAAATCCCTTTGATATGAATATATTTTGAACGCAACTAATTGCTTTCCACCTCAATTTCTTATTTACTCGCATCAATAGAAAAATGGGTGAAATTGAAGTTCCAACCGGCCAGGGTGTGTACATGACAGGAAATTTTGAAATCGAAGAAAAGGTGTGTATCCATCTATGCCCTACAATTAAGCCCTTGCAAACTGACACCTTCAATCTAGATCGGGCAAGAAACAAAATGGGACAGAGATGCGCGAACTTACGTGACCAACATCTCATGCTCCGGCGCCAATCGTCTCAAGAAGCTCATATATGAGATCCGAGCCACTGGGTACAGTTCTTCAGAATACATTCTTGAGGAACGCACTGTGTACTTCCTTCGGGGCAGTTTTTTCCCTTCCAACACTCTCTTCACTACCAAAGATGTGATTCATTTTGAAGCCACCCACCGTGCCCCTGTCATATCTGCAGACGATATGAAAGAGAGCCTGATGGACACAGTTGGTGTCAGTGGGTGTGGTATAATAATTGGTCTTGATATCATCACGGAGGAATGCATGGACTATCTCGAGGAGAATCCGAAGATTACAGATTTAACCACTACTGTTGTTACTATTCAACACGGGGATTATCACCCTGTTGTACGTTTTTACCTCATAAATGTCAATCAAATGCTGAATTCTACTTACCAGATTTGTTCGGCAGGATAAGGCCAAAGCCTTCCGCATGGAGTATCGCCTTCGTCCTTTTCTTCACTTGGCCGGCATCCGCAAGATTCTGAAGACCAGGCGTGAAGTCAATGTTCATGGGTTTATCCAAGATTTTAATCCAAACACGGAGTGCTGGATCGTCGTTGTAAGTCCATAAATATTGATTCAAGTATTGTTCTCATGATGTATTTATTTTACGTAGGTCAACAAGATATCATTCACTACCGGCTCACAAAATGCAAACAATTCATACAAGGGACGACGTGCACCACCCAAAGCCCCCAAAGGGGCTTTCAGCAAGCCTACTAAGTATGTGGCACCTGTAGAAGAAAACGAAGACGTTGCCGAATCAGAAGATGAAGAAAAACCTGAGCTCAATGAGACGGGTACAAACATGTCAAGCGGCTCAAGCTACAACAACATGAAGCCACCTAAGTAAGTAAATTTTAATCTCATTAGCCATACATGACACTGATATGTATACTCAATACCAGGTACTCGCCAAGCCAACAGGCAAAATTTACCACCAACCCCTCACTTTCAGCCTACATTCCCACCAGGGGCCTTCAATCAGGATTCAAATCGCCTTTCCCTGATCACTACTCTGGAACCAACAGCAGCCTTCCGTTCCCGCCCGCAGACTATGACCCTTCTTCGTATTTACCTGCCAGCACCATGGATGATACTTCGCCTCCCAAGAAGAAAGCACGCGCTGCTCCCAAGAAACGAGCAACTCGAGGAAAGATGCTTGACTTGACTCAAGGGTAATAAATTGATCTTATGATTTCCACTTCCCAATATACAGGAAAAGTTCCATAGCTATTGGTGTTGTGATACGATAAGACTTCACTTTCAATTAAAATATCCAATTGTTTACTATACTCCGCCTCACTGAGAGTCATATATGTATCCCAAGTTTTATCACACGTAGATTTATTTAATTATATTACTTAGTTTCTCTGTACATACAATAATTTTGAGTCCGTTCAATCTATAAAAAGGTTGCGCCATAAAACTCAATAAATATATCCAAGTGACATTTACGCGCCCCAACTCATCTTTTATCCAAGTCTGTGTTTCGCACCCCCACTATCACCTGATTACGTACAATATGGCCTAAATACTGAACTACGAGAGCTGGACATCACATTTTGATAACAATTTGTGGAAGAATTTGACTATGGATCACGAGAAAATTGCCATTGGTATTACTGCTACACTAATTTAAAAGATGCCACTCCGAGTACATACTCTTAAAGAATAGTGATACACGCATTGAACACAAATATGCTCCCACTCAGCAAAACATAGTCAGTGTTACATGTTTTATTCGGTGGGGTACACTAAGACTCAATACCAATGGACACAGGATTGGGTAATGCACCTGAAGCAGAGTGAGACAGTACTGGGCTCGGACCGGAAAGATACTAATAGCCATTTTCAATATGACATATGACAACAAACCAAACCAGATATCCTAGCAGACGATACCAATTCTACAGACATCACCACGATATCTCAATCAGACAATCCTATCCGAATACATAGTGACGATCGATCAATGGAATCTGACATTTCATCACGTCAAAGTAAAATCCTGCAACTGGCAGGCTGGAAGGATAACCCAGACTATCTATCGACTCCATCACGGCTACAAACCTCAAACCGACAATACCAGAATATACACCACAACGTATGCCTGAAGAATGTCAGTGCCTTTGGCAAACTCGCCATTCGGCATTCAAACTGCTTTATCATATACCTTACGCACCTGGACACGGACAGCGGACACATTCATTATCCCAAAATATCCTTAGCGTTGATAAACCATCAGTCTGAAAGTCTATACGTTGAAGTCAATCACATTTCAGCTGCCAAGACACAATCGCAAGATAACGGTTTCGATTTGTCGACAACACGACAAGCTGTTTATGCCACGTATTGTGCCGTAAGTGTCATAAACCCATTGGAAGAAAAAGACAGGAAACGATTTCTGTTTGTATGCACAACAATCAAATCGTTATATCAAAAGTGAGTCACCTCTCGAATCTCCTACCTCATCTATTCCCAAGACCTTGATACTGACCAAAGCGATTTGGTTAACACAAATAATTACCAATTCTCTTTCATACTACTTTCACATCATTATCTCGCTGCTCTGCCACTGGATGATTGATCGAATTCATCTTATCCACCAAACATCATACACATTCAATTATTTTCCCTCATTAAAATTCCCAACTCGCTTCAACATTTCAATCACATCGAATTCTAATACCATTTCAACTCTTAATTGATCACCTCATCTGCTCTTTATCGACTATTCTACACTCCAATTCTACATTCATTGCCATAATAACAACAAAATGCCACCTAGACGCCACAATAAAGGACCTGCTGTTCGAACTGAAGCCCAATCTTCCGAACTCAGCCTGACCAATAGGTTCTGCCTCGAGATACCGCATTACATAGGACTTCAAGACAATCAGTGCATGGCGTGTGGGGCTTACCGTTGGAAGCTTGAACGACGTGTCAAGGATGCGAACGCAGTACAAGCTGCTTACTCCAATTGCTGCCAGCAAGGCGCAATTGAGTTGCCAATGAAGTATTTTCCTGAGGACGTAGGTCAAAAAGTCCCAGACTTCTACCGTGCTCTCTTGACTGGCACAGATCCCAGTAAGTATCACCAGTTATCGTACATTATTTACTCGGCTGACGTCTATGACATGTAGCATCTGTTTTATTTCGATCTCAAATACAGAAGTACAATAATGCACTTTCCTTCGCATCTCTGGGTGCAAAGGTCGACAGAAGTGTTGCGGGCCAGCTTGGTACTTACACCTTCAAGATATCGGGTCAGCTATCACACAACATAGGATCCCTGATGCCTCTACCACGCGAGGCACCTGGCTTTGCGCAAATCTACATTTACGGCGGAAACGATGATGTGGAGACGCTCTATCGGATCCACGCCTGCCGCCACGATCTGAACCCCTACATCCTGAGGCAACCCCCGACGTCACCGCAGTGCACCGCAGTTTTGCTTAAAACTGTGGTGCACTGCGAAATTATACACATGCGTGACGTTGCGGTGCGCAAGTCGCGCAGTGTACTTACAAGGCGTGATCCCCTGCAATGATGCATAGCGCAGTGTGGCGCACCGCAGTGGCGCAGTGATTGCGCGTATAATTGTAAATAGCACAAAATAACAAAATCAAGTGACCATGACTTTAGACAGTGAGACTAGTAGGAAAACCAACAACTAACATAGATGAAGAAGTAGGAGAGAGTCAAAACAATAAAGATAATTGTTTCAGAGAAAACAATTGAACAAAACAAATGTTTTAAAAAGATAGAAAATTTTCACAAAAGCTTATACCTTTGCCACTTTTTTCTTCTTGGCTATACCGGCCACAAGCTGTTCAACAGCTGCCACCGCCTTTCCTAGCTCTCCATTTGGTACAAACTTTTGCTTGAGCCATTGGCAGATGCCAACAGCTCTTTCAATCGATCTCGAAGTGAGTCCCCCTCGTCGGTTAGAACACACGATTGCCGCAGTTGAGAAAGTCCTCTCGACGGCGCAGGATGATCCGACGCAGCAGAGGTAATCACGAGCCATCTTAGCGAGTTTCGGAAATCGCTTTTGATTCATCTGCACGATAAAGTTGACGTTAGTTTCTATACAAAGAGAAGGAAAACAAAGGTTACGTACACGCCACCATTGAAGTAAGTCCGTGTCACGCTCACATGGACGCATTCCTGATAGATACTGATTGACTTCTTCATCGCTTGTAAGAGTTTTGGTAGAAGAGGCACCAAAAACATTAGACTCATCCAAAGGGTCGAATTGTTCTGGTTCAGTATTAGCCGAAGAAGTCGGCTTTGAAGCAAAATCAGGACAATTGTTTTCATATTCAGAAAACTTAAGGCGAAATAGTTCCTCGGCTCGGTTCGCATAGTCAGGATATTTGTTATTGAAATACTCTATTCGGAGCCGTGGATTAAGTACTGCCGCCATAACAATTGGATCGCAGTGGAGAGCTTCCGTCTGATAATCTCGGAGTTGTGTAATCATACGAGTGATCATTTCCGATAGGCCTTGATGTTGCGTTGTCTGCTTGATGTCAGCCAATACCGAAATCAATCCAGAATACTGGAAGAGGACGGAGGCACCAGTGGGCCCGTCACCTTCCATTTTCTTCGTGGATCGTAGAAAGTGCTGAACAAAAATTCAAGTATAGAAAAAATCAGTTGAATGCAATTAAAAAAACAATGAAATAATTTTACCCCCAGGACATCATTCAAAGACTCAATTGCCTTCCATTCGTCTGGAGCTATCGTAATACCTTCATAAAAGCCTTCTTGATCTTCGTTGATCATGAAGTTAATGACCTAAATATGAATAGTAGTAAGAATTTTGAAAAGGAAGAATATTTATATGAAAAAAAACTTACCAATTTAGCTTTGCACAATCGTGTTTGAGCATCAAGCCATATATTCCATCTTTGACCATGAGCAGCAATCAGTCCACCACCCTCAAAACCTAGCTGAGACGCGCAAGTCTTGAAATGATTAAGTCGAGGTGCACTCGAAGTAATCAATTTGTTAATTCTTCGCACCTTTGAAAACATATTTCTTCATCAGTATAATTAATTCATAACACATATCAGGTGTGACTAAGACTTACCTTGGTGACTGCTCGAGGTAAGAGTAAAGCGTCAGGCTTCTGGACCTTGTAGTCGGATGCGTTTGCCTTGTCATCTGAGTCGTCACTGGCCTCTATGTCATTTCCTGCCACAGTCAACCCTTCATGTGTAACCTCCTCGCTATCTGTATCAATGTCGCCGTCCGGTAATCCGTCTTCATCAACCACTTTGCCGTCAGCCATTACAATCTTCGGTGGGGGAAGATGATCGTCGGGAAGAAGGAGTCGTAGGCGTTTTCCAGAAGGGACCGTGGGTTTGATTCGGCCGTGATCTCCTAATCCAATTACTTCGAGCCCAGATTTAACTGTTAATGCTAGCTTGTGACAGTAGCATCTGATCTGATTTCGAGATGAATCCCAAAAGATTGGGTCATCGCAATCCATGAACATTTTTTGAAGCTCGGTTGCCAATATTGGGTTGCTTGATCCTGAGTCAGTCGTCTGCGCTATCATGTATATTCGGAAAATAATTAGCAAGAGACAAATAAACATAAAAGAAAGCAAAAAAGAAAAGATACTCATCTTTTTATGAAGACCATGTCGGATAAGGAATTTCCCTACAGGTCGAGCTAATAAAGCTCCATAATGATTCCATGCGATTAGTTTCAATGTCAAGTGTGTGACATGAAACTCCCAGTCTTCATCTATATAGGACACCGCCACTCCAATGAAGGCACGTTTACCACCTTTGGTGGTCCATACATCGTGTATGACACAGACTTTCGAGTCAAGAGCCTATGATAGTATCCAGTAACTCATTGAGTATGTGATCAAAGCAAAATATCAAAAGGAATAAAGGAAATATTAAAACATATTCAATAAACTTACCTGAAGGGTTTTAACCAGGTTACCACGAAATTCCTCAAAGTACTCCATCGCACGCCGAGCCGACCACGATGCTGACCAAAGAGTAGCATTCGGATTGCATAAAGAAAAGGCCGCTTGAAGATAAGGATCTTCCATACGAAGCCAAGGGATGCAGTTTCTTAACAGCCAAAGAACGAGTATCATGTTCAATAATGAAACCGAAAACTTAGGTAAATTTAAGAAGTTGGCAAGTGATTCCTTTTCGTGATGATGATTCTGAGCATTCGCTGCAGCCAATCTTTGAGCTTCTTCTTCCTGATAAGTCGGAGG